ATAGCAATTAACAGCAACAGTGTGATGCCTGGAACTGTGCTTGCCTTGGCGGGGCCAGACCAAATGATTTCGTGGGTCAGACATTCCCCACCCCTGTTCTACAGGGTCACTATGAGTGAACGGATTAGATGGAATTTATGAACAACAAGAAGAAACCAGTATCTCTTATAAAATTGAATAAGGTTTGGTACTAACTAGAAAAGTCATTATTGACTGACGTTTCTCCAAAGAGCCTCTTTTATAAATTATGAATACTTTGTAAGAAAAACAACAATGAGGTGTATTTGTTCATTTAGTAGGTAAAACTCTGTTTTATATTTAAATTGTTGATTTCATGAATTAGTGAGGACGTTAAATCAGTGAGAAATTATGACAGAATATAGCAGAGTATTCAGTATCCGAAAGTCTCCAAGGTTTTTGGAGCTGGATTGTTTTTTCTCTACATAAATTCTCCATCTGTTAGTGCACTAGCTCTCCCAAATGAAGGGCTTGGGACCAGGGCTCTGTTTGCATTTTGGGGAATGAATTCATATTGATCTTCATTTTTTTTTAAAGGATCCCTCTTTAGACTTGTGAGTGATGGGAATGATAACTGTCATTAATGAACTGCTTACCACGTGGCAGACAGTGTGCTAAGCATTTCACCTTGTTGTATCTCACTTCACCCTCATAATCACTGCATGGCATTCCCATTTTTCAAGTAGGTGAAGTACTTGCTTCTGTAAGGCCACAAGGCTGGTAAGTGGTAGAGTAGGAGGCAGGCTTCAAGCAGGGAAGTGGGCAGCCATTTGCAGCCAATGTGGGTAGCAGAGGAGTGATACCTGTTGATCTTGAACCTGAGCTCTGTTCATTACTACCTTCCTCTACAACCAGTCGTGTAGACATTAAGAGGCGCGGAAATGCAGCCAACTGCTCCTTCAAGCACTCAACAGATACTTGGCTGATTACATAAAGCACACTCATATCTTGGATGGTGGTGGTGCTTTTGTGCCGTGGAGTCGGTTCTGACTCAGAGTCACCCTGCATAGGGTTTCCCAGGTTGTAAATCTTTATGGGAGCACAAAGCCTCATCTTTCTCCCATGGAGCGGCTGGTAGATTTGAACTGCTGACCTACTATGTGATTAGCAGCCCAACTTGTAACCCAAAACACTGCTGGAGCTCCTTTACATCCTGGATGTTGCTATTGTTAAGTGACCCTGTATAGGGTTTCCGAGGAGCAGCTGGTGAGCTTGAACTGCTGAC